TGTAAAAGGCAGCATTTTGACCAATTAGTAGGATGTAAGAAAGGAGAATTCATTCTGGCATTCCCTTTCAACACCCTTACAAAAGGATCCTGACTATGGCTAGAGGGAAAAAAACAAAATCCTAGCCATTGTAAACCTGCCTCTACTGTGAAAAATACGTACATAGCAATTCCATATAACAAATGCTATTATTCTTGTTCAGCTTTTGCAATCAACCAACAGTAAAACGTGTAACAGCCCTCGCAAGGTTACAAAATGGAATGTAAATATTGTGTGATGCTCTCAACCCTTATCACCTAATATCTACCAAGGTGCACTAAATCCTCAATTTAACATACGATGTTGATAAAACAAACTGGTGCAAGTATATTTTAAAATACTGAAGTATCTATCAGAAGAATTTACCACAAAACAGGTAAAAACCCAGGGAGCAGGAGTGAGATAAAAAGGGGCCGGGAAGGAGGCTGTTGCATTTCTTTCATAACTTCACCTGTACTCTTCGATTTTTTTTTTTTTAACCTTACTCATGAGCACATCTTTTTAATAGCTAAAAGCTAACTTCTTTAAGAAACTTTAGGGGCACCTGGGTGGCTCAGTGGGTTAAGCGTCCAACTCTCAATCCTGCTCAGGTCACGATCTCATGGTTTGTAGGCTTGAGTCCCACATCGGTCGCATGCTGACAGTACAATGCCTGCTTGGGATTCTCTCTCTCCCTCTCTCTGCCTCTCTCCCCAACTGGTTCTCTCTCTCAAAATAAATTTTTTTTTCTTAAAAAGAAATTTTGTAAGACAAAGGAAACTTTAATACATGAAAATTACACTTTCATAATTTCATCCTGTACATGGTTTTCCTGTTTTAAAGATTTAAAAGTATGTGCAGGGGCACCTGGCTGGGTCAGTGGGAGGAGCATGTGACTCTTGATCTTGGGGTCATGAGTTCTACATGTGGATGTAGAGATTACTAAAAAAATAATAAAGTAAAATAAAAATAAAATAAAAATATGTTATATATACCTAGTATACAGTATACTACAATATATAGTAAAAGCTGAAATAAAATGCTTTCCACAGTAATTATGGGACCTCACAAAATGTCATCTTTTCAATTTTCCTACAAATGGAACATCAGCAGAACTACAATTAGTACAAAACTGTTGCAGTAGAATTGAACACTAAAATGGCAAGCTGAAGATGAGCATGAAGTATTTGATTAGCTTACACAATCACCAAAATAGCAGCAACATTAGTTGCCAGAAAATACCTTTCTCCTTTTAACACTGGAGTGGCCTCACCATTTAATTCTTAAAGGGGCTCTAAAAAAAACTCCAAGCATTTCTTTAAAACAGAAACAACTTAAGCTGTAGATTTCAGTTTTTACTTGAAAAACATGCTCTTCAAGCCTTTAGTAGCTAATTTAAATGGTATGGAAAAATTCTTTGACTTTTAATGTCAAATGCACTTTTAATGGTGCAAGAGGCAAATGTCACCACAAAATGGGGCAGATCTACTTTTTACATACACGTTTACTAGAATGTTCACTAGAACACTTAGACAACAGTCTTTCCTTCCTCTCTTCTAATTTCATTCTACCTAGAAATAACCAGTGTTATCAGTTTGATTGATTTTCCCAGACTTCACACACACACACACAAATGTACATAAGACATTAAAACATTTCTTTTAAAAACAGATATCAAATGACTAAGTGTTATGCTCAATAGTATACTGCATACATCATTTCAAGATACAAATATTTTCCCTCAGCTTACTGTTTACCTTAGGAATTTCTAATGGCTGCACAGTATCCCAGTAAATGAAATGTTGCATATGAAATCACTGCAAAAATAACATTCCATGTCCTAGGTTATAAGCAGCCTAATGGTTACAAAGTCGTATCTTGAAAATGTAAGTCTCCTGCTCTAATTTTTCACATCAAAATCAATCTATACATTTCTCCAAAAGTTACTAATATATGGTCAATGACTGAAGTAGGCAAGATTTGCAAGAATATGTAACTTATCAAAAATTGACAACACAAAACAAACAAAACCTCTTAAATACAATACTAAACACTATAATTGGGGAAAACATAAAAGGGAGTAAAAACAAAAAGGGTCAAGACCAAACTCATAAATCAAGATGTACTTAAAACAGCAAAGGAGTCAGAAAAATTAACCTTTTTCCACTTAAGCTTTATGTTTAAAGAAATTAAACATAAATTCTAAGTATAAATTTGTCTCTAAAAAAGCCCCAAATCAAAAAAACCTGAATTGTTAACATTAAACATCTTTTATCAACAAAAACATTAAAATATTAACATTAAGGGGCACCTGGGTGGCGCAGTCGGTTAAGCGTCCGACTTCAGCCAGGTCACGATCTCACGGTCCGTGAGTTCGAGCCCCGCGTCAGGCTCTGGGCTGATGGCTCAGAGCCTGGAGCCTGTTTCCGATTCTGTGTCTCCCTCTCTCTCTGCCCCTCCCCCGTTCATGCTCTGTCTCTCTCTGTCCCAAAAATAAATAAACGTTGAAAAAATAAAATAAAATAAAATAAAATAAAATAAAATATTAACATTAAAATGTCATTATTTTAAAACTCAGAGTTTTAAGAAATGGTTATTTGGTTTATTAGTTTGTCAGGTAGTTAGCCCTAGTTTTTAAACATACAATCCTCATTTATATAACCAAAACACAGTAATTGCAAAAAAGTTACTCTCATTTCTTGAAGAAAAAAAAGTTACTCTATTCCAAAAAAAATCTGTATAAAATTGCTTAAATACACTCACTGGAAAACCTAGTAAGAATCTTTAACATTCATCAGATGTTTAACGTATTGTTTACAAGACACAACAATTATTTGTTATTATATTTAATCCTCCGTAGTATCCAAAATAAACCAATACTAGTAGAAAGATTACTTATTAAAATGTATAAGATTACCCATCTTTTTCTTTAATGTGTATCCCTATTAACCCTACATAATTCTTGCTCACCTTTTCAAATACGTACTCATTTTACTTTTTTTTCTAACTAGAAAACACACATCCTTTTAAAAAATCTTGGAAACAACAAGAAAAATCATACTCTCACTTCTTGTACATGTCCGTCCATTTATCCACACACATATACATCAAATATTTTTAATTTTTTTAATGTCTATTTATTTTTGAGAGAGAGACCATGAGTGGGGGAAGAAGGGAGAGAGGGAAACAGAGAATCCGAAGCAGGCTCCAGGCTCTGAGCTGTCAGCACAGAGCCTGACATGGGGCTCGAATCCATGAACCAAGAGATCATGACCTGAGCCACCCAGGCGCCCCTCAAATCTCTTTTTTTCTTATGAAATTTGGGATCATAGAAAATAAGCACATTTTAAGTGGTTCATTTGAAGCGATCATATTCCAAAAATTATAATCATACCATCACCAAAGAAGTACAGTGACATTCTTATTAGTTGCAAAATTAGTCTATTTACTTATCTATGCATACTTTTGTGAGGTTTAAAATGTTAGACTTGATTTTCTGTAAGGCCTACCTGGCATAGGAGAAACAGTACAGGCATTGATTGTAGAGAAAAAGATCTAGGTTTCAAATCCTGATTTTCTGAATTACAAGAAACGTGACCTTGTGTAGATTACAAACCAAGTCTGTTTGTCAGATGAAAATGTAAAGAACTGCACCTACCAGAGTTGTTTCCAGGATTAAATAAAATGATAGATGAGAAAGGAGCACCCAGTGCCTGGCACACAACAGTACCTCCACAAGTGTGTTCTTTCTTTCCCATTTAAAAAAAAAAAAAACAGAAACAAAAAGAAGAAGGAAAAAAAGCGTGAATGTGACACAACTATTAAAAGTCAGAATTCTAGGGGCGCCTGGGTGGCGCAGTCGGTTAAGCGTCCGACTTCAGCCAGGTCACGATCTCGCGGTCCGGGAGTTCGAGCCCCGCGTCAGGCTCTGGGCTGATGGCTCAGAGCCTGGAGCCTGTTTCTGAATCTGTGTCTCCCTCTCTCTCTGCCCCTCCCCCGTTCATGCTCTGTCTCTCTCTGTCCCCAAAATAAATAAACGTTGAAAAAAAAATTTAAAAAAAAAAGTCAGAATTCTAGACATAAATACAATAAACACACTTGAAAAGATGTTTTGTTTTGTTTTTTATCAGAGCCTTTTACTCACTTGTAATTTAAGTTATCTCACAATCCACTTAGCCGGCGACAACCCAGGGTGTTACTGTACGAAAAATTTTACTTCGGGAAAAGAAAATATTTTAAGTCCATTTTACAATTTTCGCTATCTGAAATTATAGCTAACAACAGGAAGAATGCAAAAAAATTTCTCTTGTAAAAGTATACGAGTTAAAATCCTGCAGCTGAGAATCTCCTTCAAGGAAAATTGAAGAATGAAAAGAAAAGCAACTCTAGACTTTTTCCCCCTTCTAACGGTAAGTTTGGGGATAAACAAGGGAGTAATTCTTTAGAGCAATTTAGAAAATGCCAGGGACGTGGAAGAACACACGAGCGAAAGGGTAAGTTTGAAGCTGCTCCCTGCGTAGGTCCTGGGGCGTGGGACGAAGATTCAAAACTTTGGGGTCTTTCGACAGAATTGAGGAATAAGACGGAGGGGGTCGGGGGGAGCGATTCTATAAAAGTCAAAGGCAGAAAAAAACAATGGGAGGGGGAAGAGGCAACCGAAAAACGCTCAAGACCCAGACTTTGGCGCAGCGGCTTCACTTTCAGGAAAGCAAAAGAGTTAGGAACTAAGAAAATGAGGAAATTCCGGTGCTCCGCAAGAAGGACGGAGGGGCCGTGAGAAACCGGGAGGCTGCGGGTGAAAGACCGGGTGGTGTCGTGGGAGAGAAGGGTCGACCCGGGAAAGCCAGCAGCGGCGGGACCGGAAAGCGAGAACAAGGATGCGGCCGGGGGGGAGGGGGCGCGGAGGCCTCCGGGGTCGACCAACGTGACAGAAAACGAGGAGGGGACTCTGGGGGCCGTGGCAGCAAGGGGCGACGTGGTACCTGCAGAGATCGTCCAGGACGCTGCCGGGAATCTCCACCCGTTTGGTCTCCATGATGAGAACCCACAGCAGGAGCAGTGCATCCCGGCTCCGCGCGGCCGGGGACCAAGGGTACGGCACGGAGACTCCGGCTCGCCGGAAAGCGGGCAGCGGCGGCGGCAGCGGCTCCAGCAAAGAGAGGGGGAAGGGGCGGGACCCGCTCACTTCCGTCCCGCTCCCTCAGCCCAGAACCCCGAGCCTGGGCCAGAGCGCGGGGCGGAGCCCCGGGAGTCACGCCCCTCCTCTGCTTGAAATGTCCAATGGGAAGCTGTAGAATTGGGAGGCTGAGCAAGCTAAGCCAATGAAATGTTTGTTTATTGGTCTGTCGTCTCCAATCCGTCTTCCAGCTGCTCAGTTGCTACTCAGAAAACCAACTTCCCGCCGCTTGTGATTGAGCCCTGGGGTGGCTACGCGCATGCGCACCATGCCTCCTTTGCACTATAGAAAGTCCAGAGTATTCAGGTCTTGCTGGTAGACTCGGAGACTGCATCCTAGGGTTTGGCGTGGTGTAAATGTCCTCTTGGTGACCAAGCAGGCGCTCGTACCTCTTCAGGGCAGACGCCGACGGCGCATCCTGCGCAAGTGTGCACTTGGAATTCCTGTCACCAAGTATCCTGCACACTCATTGTCGTCCCATCGCCTCCAGGCCAAGGGCTGTGCCTTTTAACTACAAACACCGGTTGTCTTTTGTGTGTGTGTGTGTGTGTGTGTGTGTGTGTGTGTGTGTGTGTGGTGGCTTACCTCTGCCTTTCCTCAAAGGACCCAGACAGAACTTTATCCTACTATCTGACACCTAGTGAGATCTGAGAAAATATTGATTGAACCTGAACTTGGGAATCTTCATTCTACCTCCTACACATACTCCCATCTCCTAGCCCTCACTGATTCCTCATCTTACTTACAGAGTCTAACCATTTAGATCTGCAGAAAAATCTGGGTGATTCATCAAGCTCCTTAACTTCCTCCTTTTACATCAGACTCACAGCCACACAAACGCACCCCTCGGTCACAACTTTAATTCATTCTGATGAGGGAGCATGGGGCAAGCTGAGGGCCAAGTCAGGCTAACAGCAGAGCACCCCCCAACCCTGGAGGTGGGATAAAAGGCGCGATATTCCTCAGACACTCCTGCCTGCCCAAGAACAGGGAAAAGGAAAGAAAGCAAATGGCTGACTGGTAGAGATCACAGTCATGCAGGACAGGAGTCTCCTTAAGTTTACAGAGATGGGGTAAACCCAAGAAAAAAGGCAATCTTATTCATAGCATAATCTCCAGAAACCTATAGATTCTGTTTCCTGGAGCCCCCACATCACCCCTCATCAAGATGTGTGGGCTGGGATGCCTGGGGCAGTTCAGGTCACTCAAGCATCCCGGCACTGCCTCAGGTCATGATCTCTGGGCTTGTAAGTGCTTGTTCTGTGTTGGGCCCTGTGCTGACAGCTCAGAGCCTGGAGCCTGCTTCAGATTCCTGTCTCTCTCTGCCCTCCCCCCCACAGGTTTCTCTGCTAAAATAAATAAATAAATAATTTAAGAAAAGATGTAGGGGGTTTATGCTTACCATGGTTACATGGGAAACAAGGGCAATGAAAAATAAATTCTATCAGTTTGCCTACAGCCCATTGACAAGTCCTTGAAATAGGCAGAGTGACCCTCCTCGAGGAGCTCAGCTGCCTCGATGATGACACTTTGCTAGGGCCGAAAGGGAATCTTGGCTTAACATTGTCCTAACCCCTTGAGGATCCTGTGAGTCTCCTTAAACGCGTAAAAATTCCTTTGGAAACTTCCTTTATCTTTACCCCC